GAGGTAGCAACTTTGGGAGCCCTGGTGCAGCTGAACCTTGAGCATTTTAGAGTCATCTGCTCGGAGCAGATCTGATCGTGGCAATGCTGTTTACGTAGGCGGTTCACCCAGTCACACTGTCACGGACACGGCGTGAGGGTGCGAGCACTTCGTGCAAACAGCTCACGATTGTTTGAGCACCGAACAGCGGCTGAAAACCAGGAGGCTGTTTTGCTAGTGTAGACAAGAACTTGCTTTCTTGTTTCCTTTTGCCTTCACTTGCTGCTGTTGTCTGAGCCATTCCATCCCCAGACGGATTCAGGAAAGAAGAGGGAAACCGCGCCACCCCTCCACCGCTCTGTCTGTACCATTCCAACTCCCTCCAGGGGAACATGAGAATTCGTGCCAGGCCAAGCCACATTTTATTGCGCTCATTCTGGTTAATAACAGGGCTGGTGATGAGCACGGCCCAGAAAACGCTCATAAATCACGAACGGATTCGATGCCTTTCCTTGGCCAGGTCTGAGGCTGCCGAACTAGAGCCCCGAGACATGGGTTCCAACAAGCAAAACCGAATGAAATAAAACAAAATTAGCCCTGCTGGGAAGTTTCCACAGGAGAAGAGCCATTTAACAGAATCCCCTTCCCTCTCCTCCCGGCTTCCTAAATGTTGTGGATTCGGATCAACCCAGGTCCAGAGCTCAGCTGGACTGGAAAAGTCAAAACACATCCCAGATTTTCGCTTCTTTCTGGTTTGGATCGGGAGGGTCTATAAAAGACCCACAGGGGGAGATTTCTGAGAGCAGAGGGCTCTTTCCATCTAGGAGACAAAGACAAAACGAGATCCTGGGCTTCATTTGTACAGCGCCTGGCGCAATGGAGCCTGGACCACGGTGCTACCGTAATACACCTAAAGCAATAAAAACGTACAGCGCCTGGCACAGTAGGGATCTGGCCCATGCCTGGGCCGCCTATGTGTTACCGTAATACACCTAATAGAAACAAAAATGTACAGCACCTGGCACAAAGGAGCCTGGACCACGGTGCTACCATAATATACCTAATGGAAATGAAAATGTACAGAACCTGGCACAGTGGGGGCCTGACCCATGCCTGGGGCGCCTATGTGTTACCGTAATACACCTAATAGAAACAAAAATGTACAACACTTGGCACAAAGGAGCCTGGACCATGGTGCTACCATAATATACCTAATGGAAACAAAAATGTACAGCACCTGGCACAGTGGGGGCCTGGCCCACGACTGGTGCCCCAGGGGCTATCACAATAAAAGTAAAAGAAAGATACGGTGGCTGAAAGTTGTCTGGAAACAAGAGACACCTTTTTAACAGCAAGAGCAGTTAACCTACCATTGCCAAGCCCAAGCATTAAAAATATCAGGCGTCAGGCTCCAAAAAAACCCAAAACAAATCACAAGATTGGCTTAAGAAATCACGAGATCTTCAAAGCCTCACAGAATGTGGGGGCCTTTTTATTTCATTTTCTGGGGTTGGCGCCTTTGCAGGTCATGTTTACAGGCTGTTCTCCACAGCCCTGCGAGCTAGAAACAAAACCGGCAAGCCCAACTCGGAAAACCCACCTCATTCCCGGGGCCCCGCGACTGCAGATTGGCCATGCTGGGACACCCTCCCAAGGGACTGGGAGATTTTCCACCCAACCTCAGAATCGAATTGGGGTGTCTTTCTAAAAGACGCCCGCCAGTTATGGAGTCTGGTGCGGGAATTGCTGTTTGAATTTCTCGGATCGGGGAAGCGTAGGTCACAAGATCTTAATGGTTCCTTCTGGCCTTAAAACTTATTCATCAGAATAAATCCCGAAATGCCACGAAGATGGGTTTTCATTCATCTGGGGGCTGCTATTTTTGCCTTGAGCCAGGATTTCTGGTCTGTGCTGATTTTGGTGAGGACAGAGGGGTCCAACTAATTCCTTATTCTCTCCATGAAAA